TGAGTGATGTAACTTCATATAGCAACCACGTTGGTCCCGTTAACCAGTCTGAATCTATCAGACTTTTAGTATCACCCCCACGCGATCCAATATCGGCCGGATTGTAATTTGTTTTTACGTGTAGTAATTGTACTCCAATCCTAAACCCTTTGATAGATGCCAGTACCTTGTGGGTCTCCGTTACTTGATGTGTTACATATCCCGGCAGGTTTTTTCCATTGGTTAACCATGACAAGGCCACCGTGCTATCGCTAACGATGTTAATTTCTAACAACTGAGGCATTATGTGCAAGATAGACAGTGCAAGCCGTGCACCCATTCGTATGGCTAACAATTCTAGTCTTGGAATGGTCATGTGTTTTCCGGAAGGGGCTAACCGAGATTTGCCACTAATAAGTCCCGATATAGCGTCGGGATATCCGATGTACGCGCAGCAAGACAATGCCACCGCGCTGGCATCTACAAAAACCCATAATGTAGGTCTGGAATATGATGTCTTGGTTATTCGTGGCATCGAGATCGAACAATTAGTTGTAATATCTTTAACAATGTATACCCAGTTTTGAATTGTTGTATAGGGCAACTGCTCGTCCCATCCTACCTTTTCCGCACACACGTCTCGGAAAATGTTTTTTAACGGGACCATCAGGGGAGCTATCATTCCGATAGGATCGTAAAATGCGTGTAGTTGTGCCAATAACCCTCGTTTTGTGTTGTCCTTCAGGGAGGGTACGTTCACATTGACTGAAAATGTGTCTTCACCGGAATTGTAGGGTACTCCGAGAATTCTTACGTCCTTCACAGGGTATAAATCTTCTGAAGGTATTATTGACGTTACCCTCGGATTGTTGGATAAAAATTGTCTTACATTCATAGATATGTTTTTGAAAATCTCTTTGACTATCTTACATTTCTCTTTAGCTTCGGCTTCAGTATTAGCAAAAAGAATGATGTTATCAACGTACAGACACTGCAAAATTTCCTTGGCAATGGGGATTTGTGAGTTGTTCAAGTACCAGGTTAAACACATATTTAGTATACTTGGGGACGCAGTGAGTCCAAATGGGAGTCTTTTGAATCGATACTCACATAGATTATTGAGGGTGATAGGTGAATCAGGATCTACCACCCATAAGAACCTACACAGGTCCCGGTCCTCTTCATTCAGTTGTACTTGCAGAAAGGCCGATTCTATATCACACGTAATCATGATGGGTTTGGAACGACAAATCACCAAAATATCATGAATTTTGTTGACGTAAGACAACCCAGTATGCATAATCTCGTTTAACGAAGGTGATCCCTTCTGTTTTGCTGAGCCATCAAAAACTATTCTGAGTGGCTTTGGTTTTTCCATTTTCCATACCCCACGATGAGGTAGGTAGAATTTTGGGTGTGAAGTGATTTTTGGTGCCACCTCTATGATCCCCTTAATTCGATATTCATTGATCGTGTTATTGTAATGTTCAAATTTCTCCTTATGTGGGATCAGTTTGTCCAGCAGGCTTCGAAGCCGATGAAATGATGGAAAGAAGTTGTCCTTCAGTTCCGGAGTATGTAATTTTAATGGTAACGACGCAGAGATTCTGTTATGGCGTAAACATATTTTTGAGGAGTATTCTTTATAATAGTTGTCTAGAGCTTCCTGTTTGAAGTCATCTGAGGCTATTCCGAGACTATCAATTTCAAATAATTCTTTCATCATCTTGTACTCCGATTCCTCACTTGTTGGAGTTTCTATACAATTCAACGATGATATTATTGGTAATGGTGCAGTGCCATTGATAACGTACCCAAATGCCGTATTTTTCAACAAAAGTCGAGATGGTAACTCAATCTCTTCGTTGATAGGCACAAAACTGCGATATCGGTCCATACCAAGGATGATATCCGGTTGGAAAAGTGCTCCATCCGTCTGTGAGTTGGCTAAGGTTAATTTATTTTTACTAATGAATTCTTGATCGTTCTGACCCAAATGAGGGGAATTGATTGGAGCTGATATGGCGGGGTTAGTTATTATAGGTGTGATAATTACGTCTCCTCGCTTAGTGCAGAACACAAGTTGGACTTCACTGGTCCTTTGAGTTTCTGACATTCCTCCTAGTCCAAAAAATGTTCTTATTCTGTGTCTGGACTGAGCCACCCCTAATTCGTTGGCGAATTTCGCATTTACGAAAGATCGCATGGATCCCTCGTCGATCAGTATTTTTGCTGATACGAATGTGTTCAGTTTTTCATTAAAGACAAATGTTTCAGCTGTCCGAAGTATTACTTGCTGACTTTCAATACCAGCTGTATGATTTGAGTCAACATGATTCATGTGGACGGGAAAAACTCTAAAGTTTTGGGTTTCCTCCAGCTGTGACAGTGCGGCAGCTATATGCTGTACTCGCGGGTTGTCTTCTACGTGTACATTAGAACTTATTTGACTTTCCTTCTTGGGATGTTCATTCTCTCAAAGGCACAATACATTGTTATGGTCTCCTTTGCAGATGTTGCATCTATCCTTCTTACAGTCTTTGCTTTTGTGCAATGGACTGAAACAAACCCAGCATCTGTTTTCCTTTTTAATAACTTCTCTTTTTCCGAAAGCGGTATCCACTTTATCACATGCATGAGAGCGGTGTTCGGTACTTTGGCAAAATAAACAAGGCCAGTTTTTACGGGGTTCTCGGGGTTCGTATTGTTGGAACGTTATGGGTTTTCTTTTCATATTTCCGTTCAGGAGTGCTTCTAGTTTCATTGTAATAAGTTTCACTATCTTCCCTCATTTTCAGGGCCTTCACCTTTTTGGTGATCGATTTGAGAATGTCAGGAACATTCCAGTCTTGATCTTCGTTCATGAGTACCCCCTCAACTATACTGAACGGGAATTTGGTTGTTACCTCCAACAGGCAAAATTCTGGGGTGATAACGCTTCCTGCAGACTCTAATTGACGAATGATGGTTTTTATTTCTCTCAATGTGTTCGAGCAGTCTTCGGCAGTGGACGTTGCTTTCTTAAGCTTCCTTAGCTCTTTCACCAATCTAACCTTGTTGGTCGTATACGACCCGAACTCTTCCTGGAGAATCTCTTTGATCATCTCATAGGTTTTCTCCGAAGGTTCTATTCCTTCAATGGCTTGTAGAGCCGTCCCTGTTAAACCTTCACACAGAATGTTGACTTTATCCAGAGTGTTCAAGTCTTCATTTTCATCTACCGTGCGTTTGAACCTTCCCCAATAAGAACAGAATTTTCGTTCTTCACCGTCAAATGTGGGGATATTTTTTCCCATATTCATGTACAGGCCTTGAGTTCGGAGTTTGTTGTCGGAACCATTATGATTTCCGTTATATTGAGTCACCCAATCAGGTTCCTGTTGTTGATCCTTTGCAGCCTCCTCCATTAAGATTTCCTGCCTGTTTTTCATTATTTCTTCCAATTGGATCAAAGCGTCATCCAACTGCAATATTTGGTTTTTAGCCTTGTTGAAAGCTTCATGGAACTTTTCATTTTCCATAATCGGGTTATATTTTTCTTTCATTTCCTCGTTAAAGTCTTCCTTCAATATTTCGAACAATTTTCTGATCGACTCGTGCAACCCATTAATTTCATTCACGGCTTCTTCAAGGTGCGATTTCATGTTTCCGAATGATTTTATAGCCAGCCTTATCGGTTCAAGATCCTTACTTGTTCGTATCTCGAACTGCATTTCCTGTCCAACGATCTTTGAATCGTATCTTGCTACGACCTCTTGCAAGAACTTGTAGGAAATTCTCAAATTTGTCAAATATGCTCCAGCCATCTCTGGAACTCTCACTTTGCGTACGGGCACGGTTCTTTCACTCAGTGAAGGGTAGTGTGATAACGAATTCAACCACTTCTCAACCGCTACCCAACTCTTGGTTTTCTTTTCCGCCTTTAAATCGGAAATTTTGGTCTTCTGTTTAAAGAAGTTTTTTAACTCACTGATACCTTTTGATAGGTTTTATGGACTTATAATGCCACAGGTTCCTTTTATTTGGAACAGAGCCAATTAATGCTCAATGAGGGACAGAGCCCGATATTAATTGTTTAAGAGATTAACTCTTACCTTGATGGCAGGATCCTGCCGTGGTCGCCAAATGTCTCACTGACAAGGGAGTGACTGTCCGAGTGTGATGTGATGTAACGAACAAATATCAATCCCAAAGTTTATTTACGAATTAACAAGTTGAACAATTTGAGTTTTAAAATCAATCTGTTTCTGAGTCGCTTGGTTTGTGAGAGTTCTGTCCTTAAATAGACTCCTACCAGATGGTTGTTACAGCTGCTGTATAAAGTAAAAGAAGAAGAGATGGAGGGAGGGAGAGAGAAGAAGAAGAGAGAGAGAGAGAGAGAGAGAGAGAGAGAGTGAAAGAAACATGTAAAGAGAGTCTACTCAAATGGATATCCTGGTCCTTTGCATTACCTAAATGATACATCATGAATAATATCGCAGTGGTTGCGACATTGCGGCCCCAGAAAAATGATAAGGGAACTTACAGCTTTCTTTTCTTGAACTCGGCACACAGAATACCATGATGTTTGGAAGAATGGCATTTGTAGCACGATCCTGAGCACGGCTCTGAATGCTTATCTTGGAGGCAAACCATGTATTTTTTCAAGTCGTTCAGCTTAATTCCCCGTTCCAAAGCAGTGGGGTAGATCGGGCAGTTGAAAGACCGGTGTCCATCAGAAGTTTGCGTTTCGCAGAATACACAGTTAGCAATAGGTTTAGTTTGGTTACGAATTGTGTCGATGTTATTCATCATTGCGGATAGATAATAAGTGATCTTTCTCATCATTCTTCTTTCAAATATCATGAATAGGCGAATATCGTTAGGGAGGTCAGAAAATTCGGGAGAGTCTATTTCATCCCGTATATCGGGCTCATTAAAAAGGCCAAACTCAGATTGCATAGTGAATGTTGTTAAAATTTAAGGGAATAAAATGGTATATATATATAGAGTTGCAGCTGCTTTTAGCGCATCGTGATTCATTAGATATCTACAGCTGGCTGAGGTCCAGCTGGTTCGGAAGCTAGCGTTATCAAAAGACTCGCAACTTTTTGCACCCCAATGATGATTATTCTAATGAAATTAGTCACTTTGATCAGCATTCCGCTCAGAATCGAGGCGGTCAGAAGATATATGGCGCCTGGTACTATTGTGAGAATCACAAGAATTAGTATGGATTTTTTCCATTGTAGTAGAAATGTCAGCAGCATGGGCTTCCAATCTATGTTTCGAGAATCCGTTCGACTTACCCTTTCTTCGGACATTGTTTCAATTTCCGCTTTCCAATTCAAGGAAGCGTGAATATCAACCTCTTCGGTAGTACCAGCACATGTTGTTTTACACAGTCCTTTGAAAATAGCGACTTGTGTATTATGTCGTAATTCGTTCATCGGTTCCCAAGGAGCACACTCAATTAGGAATGTCTCCTGTTCACATTGCAGTGAGATCCAGGAGTCGATTGTGGACATACATTTTAATCTTAGCGTAGCTCCTTCATGACAAGAGTAGCACCCGGTCATGTTAACAAATTCCAATTGACAAGGAAATTCATACGTGAATGAATGGCTATCTAATGTTAAGGATGATTCTATGGTCACTTTATTTTCATCTTGTAATGGATGTATTGATATTTGATTGTTTTCATATTTAATGATTCCTTCCGGCAATTGCATTGGTAGTTCATTGGATTGCTTTGTAAAGGGTTGGTGAGGACAGTCACATGCAGTTTGACTCTTTTGGTCCACCCGGCATAGACAAGGTCTAATCAGCTTGCAATCTGTCAATGTCCCGGCACTTTCGTTTGTCGGACATCTCAGTATTAATTCATCCTTCTCTATTAGGTAAGGGGATGTGTTCGAAGTGGCAAATGTATCATGCAAACCATATATGGGAGGTCTTGTATGTGAAAGAATCGTTAAGTTGAATAGCCCATGTTTGTACGTTTCGTAGGGTTTCATAACTACCGTTATTTCTTCTGTTCTTTTGAATAATGTCACCTTCATGGACAAGCTGATGTCAGTGTTCCATTTCTTACATGTTATAACTTGATATATTGCTTCACTTTTGGGTATATGTTCTACCTTATAGAATGTACAAGAGTCGTCATAAGTAAGGCACCCACATCGTAAGAATCCACATGTTCGTTGACACCCTGATTGATAAGGGGTGTTGTACGGTTCCAACTCANTGAAGGAAAAGAACATTTTCAAATTAATAGAGTATTTTTTTGTTTTGATAGTTTTCTAGATAGGTATCTGAGAATTTTAGTCTTTCAGTTTTTTTCAAACACAACTCGTTCGTTAATCGTACAGTAAGAACTGTTAACTAGTAACAGAGAATGTGTACGACCATACCACGTTGAAAATACGCCATCCCGTTCGATCTGGCAAGTCAAGCAACGACGGGCTTGGTTAGTACTTGGATCGGAGACGGCTTGGGAATCCCAGGTGTCGTACACTTTTTGAAGGAAAAGAACATTTTCGAATTAGTAGAGTATTTTTTTGTTTTGATAGTTTTCTAGATAGGTATCTGAAAATTTAAGTCTTTCAGTTTTTCACAAACACAACTCGTTCGTTAATCGTACAGTAAGAACTGTTAACTAGTATCAGAGAATGTGTACGACCATACCACGTTGAAAATACGCCATCCCGTCCGATCTGGCGAGTCAAGCAACGTCGGGCTTGGTTAGTACTTGGATCGGAGACGGCTTGGGAATCCCAGGTGTCGTACAATTTTTGAAGGAAAAGAACATTTTCAAATTAATAGAGTAATTTTTTGTTTTGATAGTTTTCTAGAGAGGTATCTGAGAATTTTAGTCTTTCAGTTTTTCTCAAACACAACTCGTTCGTAAATCGTACAGTAAGAACTGTTAACTAGTATCAGAGAATGTGTACGACCATACCACGTTGAAAATACGCCATCCCGTCCGATCTGGCAAGTCAAGCAACGTCAGGCCTGGTTAGTACTTGGATCGGAGACGGCTTGGGAATCCCAGGTGTCGTACACTTTTTGAAGGGAAAGAACATTTTCAAATTAATAGAGTATTTTTTTGTTTTAATAGTTCTCTAGATACGTATCTGAAAATTTTAGTCTTTCAGTTTTTCTCGAACACAACTCGTTCGTTAATCGTACAGTAAGAACTGTTAACTAGTATCGGAGAATGTGTGCGACCATACCACGTTGAAAATACGCCATCCCGTCCGATCTGGCAAGTCAAGCAACGTCAGGCCTGGTTAGTACTTGGATCGGAGACGGCTTGGGAATCCCAGGTGTCGTACACTTTTTGAAGGGAAAGAACATTTTCAAATTAATAGAGTATTTTTTTGTTTTAATAGTTCTCTAGATACGTATCTGAAAATTTTAGTCTTTCAGTTTTTCTCGAACACAACTCGTTCGTTAATCGTACAGTAAGAACTGTTAACTAGTATCGGAGAATGTGTGCGACCATACCACGTTGAAAATACGCCATCCCGTCCGATCTGGCAAGTCAAGCAACGTCAGGCCTGGTTAGTACTTGGATCGGAGACGGCTTGGGAATCCCAGGTGTCGTACACTTTTTGAAGGGAAAGAACATTTTCAAATTAATAGAGTATTTTTTTGTTTTAATAGTTCTCTAGATACGTATCTGAAAATTTTAGTCTTTCAGTTTTTCTCGAACACAACTCGTTCGTTAATCGTACAGTAAGAACTGTTAACTAGTATCGGAGAATGTGTGCGACCATACCACGTTGAAAATACGCCATCCCGTCCGATCTGGCAAGTCAAGCAACGTCAGGCCTGGTTAGTACTTGGATCGGAGACGGCTTGGGAATCCCAGGTGTCGTACACTTTTTGAAGGGAAAGAACATTTTCAAATTAATAGAGTATTTTTTTGTTTTAATAGTTCTCTAGATACGTATCTGAAAATTTTAGTCTTTCAGTTTTTCTCGAACACAACTCGTTCGTTAATCGTACAGTAAGAACTGTTAACTAGTATCGGAGAATGTGTGCGACCATACCACGTTGAAAATACGCCATCCCGTCCGATCTGGCAAGTCAAGCAACGTCAGGCCTGGTTAGTACTTGGATCGGAGACGGCTTGGGAATCCCAGGTGTCGTACACTTTTTGAAGGGAAAGAACATTTTCAAATTAATAGAGTATTTTTTTGTTTTAATAGTTCTCTAGATACGTATCTGAAAATTTTAGTCTTTCAGTTTTTCTCGAACACAACTCGTTCGTTAATCGTACAGTAAGAACTGTTAACTAGTATCGGAGAATGTGTGCGACCATACCACGTTGAAAATACGCCATCCCGTCCGATCTGGCAAGTCAAGCAACGTCAGGCCTGGTTAGTACTTGGATCGGAGACGGCTTGGGAATCCCAGGTGTCGTACACTTTTTGAAGGGAAAGAACATTTTCAAATTAATAGAGTATTTTTTTGTTTTAATAGTTCTCTAGATACGTATCTGAAAATTTTAGTCTTTCAGTTTTTCTCGAACACAACTCGTTCGTTAATCGTACAGTAAGAACTGTTAACTAGTATCGGAGAATGTGTGCGACCATACCACGTTGAAAATACGCCATCCCGTCCGATCTGGCAAGTCAAGCAACGTCAGGCCTGGTTAGTACTTGGATCGGAGACGGCTTGGGAATCCCAGGTGTCGTACACTTTTTGAAGGGAAAGAACATTTTCAAATTAATAGAGTATTTTTTTGTTTTAATAGTTCTCTAGATACGTATCTGAAAATTTTAGTCTTTCAGTTTTTCTCGAACACAACTCGTTCGTTAATCGTACAGTAAGAACTGTTAACTAGTATCGGAGAATGTGTGCGACCATACCACGTTGAAAATACGCCATCCCGTCCGATCTGGCAAGTCAAGCAACGTCAGGCCTGGTTAGTACTTGGATCGGAGACGGCTTGGGAATCCCAGGTGTCGTACACTTTTTGAAGGGAAAGAACATTTTCAAATTAATAGAGTATTTTTTTGTTTTAATAGTTCTCTAGATACGTATCTGAAAATTTTAGTCTTTCAGTTTTTCTCGAACACAACTCGTTCGTTAATCGTACAGTAAGAACTGTTAACTAGTATCGGAGAATGTGTGCGACCATACCACGTTGAAAATACGCCATCCCGTCCGATCTGGCAAGTCAAGCAACGTCAGGCCTGGTTAGTACTTGGATCGGAGACGGCTTGGGAATCCCAGGTGTCGTACACTTTTTGAAGGGAAAGAACATTTTCAAATTAATAGAGTATTTTTTTGTTTTAATAGTTCTCTAGATACGTATCTGAAAATTTTAGTCTTTCAGTTTTTCTCGAACACAACTCGTTCGTTAATCGTACAGTAAGAACTGTTAACTAGTATCGGAGAATGTGTGCGACCATACCACGTTGAAAATACGCCATCCCGTCCGATCTGGCAAGTCAAGCAACGTCAGGCCTGGTTAGTACTTGGATCGGAGACGGCTTGGGAATCCCAGGTGTCGTACACTTTTTGAAGGGAAAGAACATTTTCAAATTAATAGAGTATTTTTTTGTTTTAATAGTTCTCTAGATACGTATCTGAAAATTTTAGTCTTTCAGTTTTTCTCGAACACAACTCGTTCGTTAATCGTACAGTAAGAACTGTTAACTAGTATCGGAGAATGTGTGCGACCATACCACGTTGAAAATACGCCATCCCGTCCGATCTGGCAAGTCAAGCAACGTCAGGCCTGGTTAGTACTTGGATCGGAGACGGCTTGGGAATCCCAGGTGTCGTACACTTTTTGAAGGGAAAGAACATTTTCAAATTAATAGAGTATTTTTTTGTTTTAATAGTTCTCTAGATACGTATCTGAAAATTTTAGTCTTTCAGTTTTTCTCGAACACAACTCGTTCGTTAATCGTACAGTAAGAACTGTTAACTAGTATCGGAGAATGTGTGCGACCATACCACGTTGAAAATACGCCATCCCGTCCGATCTGGCAAGTCAAGCAACGTCAGGCCTGGTTAGTACTTGGATCGGAGACGGCTTGGGAATCCCAGGTGTCGTACACTTTTTGAAGGGAAAGAACATTTTCAAATTAATAGAGTATTTTTTTGTTTTAATAGTTCTCTAGATACGTATCTGAAAATTTTAGTCTTTCAGTTTTTCTCGAACACAACTCGTTCGTTAATCGTACAGTAAGAACTGTTAACTAGTATCGGAGAATGTGTGCGACCATACCACGTTGAAAATACGCCATCCCGTCCGATCTGGCAAGTCAAGCAACGTCAGGCCTGGTTAGTACTTGGATCGGAGACGGCTTGGGAATCCCAGGTGTCGTACACTTTTTGAAGGGAAAGAACATTTTCAAATTAATAGAGTATTTTTTTGTTTTAATAGTTCTCTAGATACGTATCTGAAAATTTTAGTCTTTCAGTTTTTCTCGAACACAACTCGTTCGTTAATCGTACAGTAAGAACTGTTAACTAGTATCGGAGAATGTGTGCGACCATACCACGTTGAAAATACGCCATCCCGTCCGATCTGGCAAGTCAAGCAACGTCAGGCCTG